TCTTACACACATATGTATGACATACACACACACGTCTGACATTGTCCGCAAGAGGAAACATCAAAAGGCCTGAATGTTGAGTTCTTTAGTAAACACCTATAAGGCCCCCAAAGGGACATATCCTACACGTTAACTAACACTGGGTAGGTCCACATGGAGCATACAACTCTTTCTTCACACAAGAAATAAATTTAATTATTACATGAGTAATTCTTTTTTTTTTAAATCTCTTTTGGCTTCCAATAAAGTGTGAATTTCTCTTTCCTGCCTTTAATGTCATATTTTTAGGTTGGAGTCAAAAGGGAAGAAGAGATTCTCTAGTTTTAGGAAGAGTGCTGTAGGCTAAGGCCGGATTTTTCCTAGTTTGGAGAAAGTCACCCAGGCAGAAAGGGGTTACTTTTTTTTCTTTTTTTAAGTTTTAGTTATTTAAGTAATCTCTACACCTAATGTGGCGCTCAAACTCACAACCCTGAGATCAAGAGTCACATGATCTACCAACTGAGCCCGCCAGGCCCCCTCTGCAAGTAATTCTTTTTTTTTTTTTTTTTAATATTTTATTTATTGATTTGACAGAGAGAGATCACAAGTAGACAGAGAGGCAGGCAGAGAGAGAGAGAGAGAGGGAAGCAGGCTCCCCGCTGAGCAGAGAGCCCGATGCGGGACTCGATCCCAGGACCTTGAGATCATGACCTGAGCCGAAGGCAGCGGCTCAACCCACTGAGCCACCCAGGCGCCCCTCTGCAAGTAATTCTTAAGGTAAGTTATTCAAACAATAGAGAATTACATCAAATAAAACATAAACATTCCTTTTCTCCCCCACCCTTTCCCTTTTCTCTCTTGAGAATGACTTTTTTTTCTATGAATTTATACAGATAAATACACTTTTTACATAGATAAGAATAATTTTCACTTTCCCTTACTCTCAGAATCCTATCCACTCGATTCCTCCTTGCCCACAAATATTAAGCTGTGGCCTCCTCAATGAAAATTCTCTCTGTGGCTGCATCTAAATGTGCCCCCCGCCAACCACGTCAAACTTAATGTTCAACCTCCCCTAGGAGGGATCTTGGCTTTCTTCACCCCCATCTCACAGCATCCTTTAGTCATACCTGTGACTCTCCAGAGCCTTCATCATTGAAGAAATACCTAACAGTGGTGCCATCTGCATGACCAGAGAGAATTCCTTTCCCAGAGGAACTAAAAAAGTGAGTGTATAAAGGAAGAGGAAGAGAAGAAAGAGATTACTCCATCTCACCAAGAAATCCCGCTTCTGTGTCAAACATTACCCTACCTGGGCTCCCTGCTACCAGTCCTCCCCATCTTCCATATTATAGTCTCCCAGTCCCGACATCCCCATCGCTTCTTCCTACATCTCCAAGCTTGGGATACTGCTCTTCCTTACTCACTTTGTTGTCAGTGATACCACGTAAGAATCTGTCCCATAGATGGTAGATGATTTATTAGTTTTAGTGTTTGCTAAACGAACCTGAAAATGGGAAAATGGATACAAGTCTGGTTAGGTTCCTTTCAATCCCACCCAGATCCTAAGGAAAGAAAAATAACAAAAAACTGGTCTTCCGTTTTCTCCCCCAATATATAACTTGACCCTAAGGGAGACATTTAACCGTATTTCTCTCTCCAGAACCATTATCCCCACCCACAACCTCTCCTGTGTTTCTTTTCCTCCTTTCCCTTCCCTTCAGCCAGTCCAAAACAATGATGTGCTGCTCTGCTGGCCACGGCAGACAAGTGACAGTACTCTGGAAGGAGGAAATCATGAAAAGGATAACCCTGTCCATGTCGCTCAGCACATTTATAACAAACTGAACCCCCCGCCACATGCCACCACCCAGTCGCCTACAGCAGAGAAGAGGACACAGCCGGGGTCAAGGAGGAAAGCAAGGAGGATGGGCAGCCACGCAGCACCATCCTCCATCCTCTCAGTTGGAAAGATCAGATGGACAAATTAAAAATGCAACTTCCGGTTACATTTACAAGTAGCTATATTGAGATATGTTTGCTCATCCAAATCTCCCAGAGACAGGTCTGAACTATACCGTCTGGATAAATTTGTTACAGATGACTTTCTTGTCACCCCTGCCAAATAAAAGGAGGGAAAACATATTAAAAACACTTTCATAAAGAAAGTGCCACACGTGATGCTGGGGGAAGGGAAGAAAGACCAGATACGTTCCCTGCTCCCCCTAATGTTTCCTACCATTCCATAGGAGCCTTGAAAGGAGGCATAAAATGGAGCCTGAGTAGTTTTAGAACAGGAACAAAGATGCTGTGTCACCAAGGGCTCCCATCACAGGTCCTCATGCTGACCTTAGGCTGATTCCACCAGGGATGGGATCTCACAACACATGAGGCAGGCACAGATAGGGAAGCAGCAACAGACTCAGGAAGGCCTTTGCTCTCCACGTCCCAGCCTGGACCATCATCTTCTCTACTCCCCTTTCCCCAATGAGACATTTTTTCCTGCCTTCCCCTTCTTTTCCAGGTCACCCCCACCTCCCAGTCTCTATCCTCACCAATCTTCGCCAATCTTGTACACATAGATGATGTTGTCGGTCTGTCCTATTTTAGTGGAATCAGGAGAAAAAGCCATGCCCTTCACCATATAGCTCTTCCTGCCATACTAAGAGTTAAAAAAGGAAAAAAAAAGTCATGAGTACACACGGTAGAGAAAAGAGAAGAAAAGGTGTTTGTGTGACTGTGTTGAGCGTGAGGGATTTACCCTGAGAAAAGATGGGGCAGGCCATTTCCTAGGCAGATGGCTGGGGAAGTTAGGAAGTTTTCCAGATTCCTAAGACCCCATGAACAGGTTAAGGACACACAGAGTATTCTCTTCACCTTCATGTCAGCTGGTTTGGTGGAGAATTTATCTCTCCGCTCCCCATGTTCATCGTATAGCAACACCACCCGGTCCACTGTGCAGACGGCAAACTTGGCATTGTTCTGGGACCAAGCCATGCAGGTCACCTTTGCAGCTCCATCCTGCAGAGGCAGAGGGGGCAAAAATAAGCCCAGCTGTTCGTCTAGAGTCACAAAAGCATTTCTAGTTCCTTTAGCTCTAGTGTGACTTTGGTCATTTCTCCACATCACAGTCCTTAAAACAAAAGATGCATCCTGGTCTCCAAGGCTATAAAACACTTGCCCAGGAGAACAAGGTGCTTTAGAAACCCATAATGCAAATACACTTTGAGGTGACACGCAGAATCAACTGTACCGATGTGCCCCTGCAATGGCCTTGCTCCTTCATAGCTCAACTGAAATAAATTCAATTGGTCTGATAAGTTGTTTTTTTTTTTTTTTTAATAGGTTCTGGTCTTCAGCCATTCATTCAATATATACATTTTTTTCATTCAATATTATTTTTTAAAGGTTTTATTTATTTATTTGACAGAGAGACAGTGAGAGAGGGGACACAAGCAGGGGGAGCGGGAAAGGGAGAAGCAGGCTTCCCAGTGGGCAGGGAGCCCAATGTGGGTCTCAATCCCACGACCCTGGATCATGACCTGGCTGAAGACACTTCGTGACTTAGCTACACAGGCACTCCTCATTCAATATTTTTTGAATACCTTACTGAGAAAGGCATGTAGCCAGGGGTTGAGAGGAAGACAAAGAGCAAAATATGGTCCCTGCCCCCAGGCTAATAACAGGGTGCAAAACAGGAAAAATCCCATTAGAGAGTCATGTACAAAGCACGATGATAGTTTGGAGAAGGCTGAAATCATTTTATGTTTAAATTACCAACTTTAAGGTTTGAAGAATTGGATGTAGTTAACTGGGGGAAGTTATCTGAAGTAGAAGGAATGATAGGAGCAAAGGCAAATCTCATTAAGAGACAGTAATTTAATTTAGCTGAAACTATCTTGCAAATACAACAGATGAACTAAGGCAGGAAAAACAGGGAGGCCAGCACAAAAAGACTTTGAAATTCGGCCAAGGAGTTTGGGCTTATTTGGTAGGAAAAAGACAGTGAAAGTTCTGGAATGGGGAGTAAAACAATCAGAGTTGAGATTTAGGATGAAAATGCCACCAGCTTAGTGTTTTGTTGTTTTGTTTTGTTTTGTTTTTAAATCCCCCCCCCCACCAAACTACGCACTGCTCAGAACTTCAATTTTGAAGTGATCATCTCCCAGTCGATTATTCTCTTCCACATCTGTCCACCACCTGGTCCTCAATGGTTCTGCACTAAGGACTTCCCTCCTTGATATAAAACATTGAGCTTCTGCTCCAATTGTGTGATTAATTACTTGGGCTCCCCAGCTCTGGTTTGAAACTTTGTTACTTTTCACTCCTAACCCACCTACCTCCAAAGTCCCAGGTTTAAAAGGCCTTTTTTTTGTTTTCTCCCCTCCATCAAAATCCTCAGAGTCAGAAAATAGCCACACCACCACCTTTACCCCCCTCCACCGCTTGATTAAATTAGGTTTGAAGGGCTGAGGGTTCCTCGGTTTCCTTGCTCATCATTTTCCTTCATCATTTTGCCAATCCTGGGCGTTTGCCCTACCCTGCATCATGACACCTTATTTTGAAAGACTGAAGGGGATTTTCACTTCCAAGTATTCTATTAGGGTAAAGGAATTTTTAAATTACAATTTCGGGGGCAGTTTCCTGAGCAATAAGCACTTCTCTCTTTTGTTCTAATTTCCCTCTATTCTAATACCACATTCGCTGTGAAGCCTTCCTCATTCCTCACAGCACTGTCGTGAGGATTCAATGGGGGCAGGGAGTAGAATAATAAAAACTAACCTTTAACAAGATCTTACCATAGACTAGGCATTTTGATAAATGCTCAATATGCATTGTCCTTTTACTTCATAACGCTGAGACAGATATGATTATGCATATTTTACAGATGGGGAACCTGAGATTCAGAAAAGTTAAGTAATCTGCTCAAATTTACATACACAGTTCATAAGGGGGTGGAACCAAGATTTAAATCCACGTATGTTTGACTCCACAAGCCACAATCCTAACTCCTGAAATTATACTGTCTTGCTACATAGGAAACGTTCACTTATGGCAGATACAATCATTAGCTTTGTATGAATCTATCCTTTGAATTGTGAATGTTCTCTCTCGTCTATCAGTTTCTACAGGGCTTTTTGGTTCGCGAAGGCTTTTGTGCACGTGACTTTCTTTAACTCTTCCTCCAAACCCCCTCAGGTTGCTATTATTGTTACTCCCATTTTCCAAATGAAGCAGTTGGGTGGGCGCTCAGAGACTGTGTGCCGAGGGCTTCAAGTCAGCGGGATTGGACCGTTTATTGAAAGTGGAGCTGGCACTAGGACTTGAGAGCTGGTCTCCTAGCTCCAAAACCCAGCCTTTCTTTAGCATGGTGCCTCCCCCGGTGCCCAGCCTTTTCCGAATCTGAGATCTTCATCATCAGAACGAACGTGAGGTCTTCCGCACTCCGTCTTTGGGGCTTTTACCTAAAGCGCTTGTTTATCTGGGCGCAGACTTAGGTTCGCTGTTTCCCTGTGCGCCCAGCACCGGGCCTCCTACACAACTGCTGTCAAATGAAACGGAATGAAAGCTACCGAGGTTAGCGGTCCGTCTTGACTACTGCACACTACCGGCCGCGCAGAGATTCCGCATGCAATAGGCGCTCAACATCGTGAGATTTCAGTTCTCCCACTTCTCTGAGAACGTTAAGGCTGGCGAGGGAGGGAAGAGGCACGCAACTCCTCACCTGAGGGCTCAGCAGGGTCCTCAGGTGCTTCAACGGCATGACGAACACCTGTCTCTCGGATGCCAGCAGTGAGCGACAACTCCGGTCGTTACCTGGACAACCCCACACGCAGCCGCAGCGACGGCCGCTGACGCAGACGCGACTACAGCGCGACACACTTCGCAGGGGGTGTCACCACGTAGCTTCGCCCTGAAGCAAACAGAACGTGCGCAGGCGCAGTGAGGTCTGGGGCGGACCCGAGAGGACTCGAGTCCTCTCTTCAACCAATCCCGTCGTTGCTTGCAAACTCCAACTCAAGCCACGCCCACAAGCCCTCGGCAAACTCGAGTTCCTACGTAATCCCGGTCTTCCTCCCGCCAGGATTTTGAGTAAAGTGTGGCTGAACACTTCTTTTAAATCCTTACAACCCTGGAGGAAGGCAGGGCGGTTGCTTTCATATGTTTTGCAGAGGCCCGGATTGAACCCAAATAGGCTCCATGATTTGCACGGGGTATCACAAGGCTAATAATGTTAGCTAACTGAATACTCGGTATGCGTCTGCCAGGTACTGTGCAAAAGGTTGTAGATGCATTATTTCATTTAATCTCAAAGACAGCTTTTGAAGGGGATGGCATTATTAATTCCATTTCACATGCCAGGAGACTCGGGATTAGAGGGGTCCCTTAACAAACGAACAGTAAATGATGTAACTGGGATTCAGTCCAGAGCTGATGCATTTAAACAGCCTTTATATTCTGAACTTGTAGCTCCCTATATTTATGCCATGCTTCTATACCCCGTGCCACTTCTATCCCAAGAGATGAGGTGTCCAGAGTCCGAGATGTGAGTGTTTCTGCGCCAGTGGCCCGTGAAAGGTACTACTTCAGAACTGGGTAGCAGTGGATCAAAAACTGCTGCCCAGATCTGGATGCTTTTGTGGTTCAAGGCAGAGGGCAAATGAGAACTGGGCTTATCTGATAGGATGAAGTTAAGTCTTGTGATACCTGGGGTTGGAGCTTTGTGAAGTAGAAAGGATAATGACTTCTTGATCTGTTTGGATTGGGGTCCCTTTCAGAATTACTGGTCTACATTCTTGGAACATGCCAGAGAGACTGAGATGCAGAAAAGGAGCGTTCATACACCTCCTCTGGAAAGATCCGAAATTGAGAAGACCTATAATTCTCCAGAGAGTATAGCATATGATGTCCAGATTCTGGGTTCTGCAGCTTTCCCCCCACAGTGGTTGCAAACGTCAACAGGTATTTCTCTCACTGGCACTATCCCCTCACCCTTGGAATTTAGGAAACAGTAGAGGAAGGCCTCTGTTTTCACAGGAAGGAAGTAGCCCCAGAGCCCAAATTATAAGTCTTTTGACAGGGGAGTTCCAACCCCTCAGTTTTATTTCCATAATCCTCCTCTGGATATAGTGGCAGAGAGTGAATATAAACTCATTTACACTTTACAGTTATTATTGACTTTGACCGAATCAGCAGAGACAGAGGCAGACAGAAACAAAAGGAAAAGTGAGGGCGGGGAAGACTAGAAGTACAGGAGTGCACAGGATAGGAGCACATGGCATTGAAGGATCAATTAGTGGAGCTGCTCTTTCATTTGTCCCAAAACACCGTTCAGTCCTTTTCTGGAAATTAACTCGAGGTTGATGGAGGAGTCAGAGGACTAAATGGTGAAAAGCTTGGGTGTCAATGTGGGCAGTGAACTTAAAAAGGTTACCGGCCCCTCTCATGTGGTATAACCTTCGTTTCCACGGATGCAGGAGAATTTATATTCCCCCCCTTCTTTTCCTTCTCCTCCCTTCTCACTGAACAAAACAAAAGGAACTAGGGCTCTAGTTTTCTACACCCATTTCTGTCCTCTCCCCACCCATTCCAGGTTATAGAGTCAAAACAAACACCCGAAAACAGTGAGAGTGCTCCTGTCGAGTTGGTGGTGGCGTGAGAGGCCATTGTGGTCAGGGGAGAGACAGTGGGGAAGTGTCTTCAGCATACTATACAGTATCCCATACAGTCATCTCCAGTTTGTCCAAGAACGTTTATTGGAAAAATGTCCAAGGGGTGAGGTCACCAGCAGCTGGGGGGGCTACCAGGTGAGAGGGGGAGCCCCTGAGGCTCCGTGGAAGACATTGGAGTAGTGCAGTGCAGCATCTGCCCCCAGACCCAGACAATTCCTTTGAGTTGCTGGGGGAGGGGGAGTACCCAAAGAAATGCCCCTCTCTGAGACCCAGAGGCAAGATGTGGGGGCAGCTGGAGATGCCGAGAGTCCTGATGCAGGTGCAATGGGGGCCCCATCGGGGACCTAGTGGGATACAGTTGAACAAGTGTCTCTCCCCTGGACCTGGGGGATGGAAGGACATATCCCACCTGATAGCCATTCCCCAGGTCCAGGGGTACAGACCCTAAGAGACCTACCTTCTGGCCCTGCTCACAGTGGAAAGAGGATGGGTACCAGGCCTGAGATTGTGGGAGTGTCATTACCCTCTAGGAGATTATGGGATCCTTCAGTCTTGGGCAGATCACCAACTGAGGCTCTCCCTGACCCTATCCCCATCCCAGGGTGTTAGTGCATCTGTTTTCGAGTTCGGTTTCTTCACTCATACATCAATGGTGTTGATGGATGGTGACTTTTTCTGTTAAAAAAAAAAAAAAAAAAAGCTTGAGTCTCTCATGTCAGGAAGGTAAGAGCCTCCTCCATCCCAAATATCCATTTCCCCTCTCTTCCTGCCCCTCTTTGGCCTTCTCCCTTTCCCTGACTGCTTCTAGAAGCAAAATCACCCTTCCCTCCCTCACTGGCCCCACATCACATCACCTGTCTCGTCCCCACTGGCCTTCCCTGAGGACTCTGTTCCGGCCCCTTCCCCTTCTCCTTGGGGTTGTTGTTGGAGTCATTGTCCTTGATGATATCATACTGACGGCAGAAGAGCCCAATTACAGCTGAAACACAACAATACAATCTGCACCTTGATCTTGACCTCCCCACTCACAGCCTTGAAGGGCAGTGAGACAGCCACACGGTTTCTAGAAAATCTGAGAAGAAAACCCTTGAATTTCTGGTGCTCAAATACAAGCACCACCCTCTTAGCCTTCCTCTCCTCAAACTTCTGCTCACCCCCAACTAAGCATCTCCCCGCTGCATTTCCCTCCCTGCCTTTTCTCCTGAGCCTTCACCACCTCCCACCTTCACTGAGCCCCCCACTCCCCCAATCCTTGGTCCCCCGTGCAGCTGCTCACTCACCGGCCCACATGAGCAACACCACCACAATGATAACCACTTCCCCTGTCTGCAATGGTCGCTCTCCCTCCAGACCCTCCACTGTGATGTCACCTGAGAAGAAAGAGACTCCAGGTTATGGGGAGCGGCCACAGAGCTCTGCTATGCAAACCCGTAAGGATGGAGAGCCTGGGGCCAGGGTTGCCCCTGAGAGCCCCTCTCTAGGAAGCTGTTGGTGGACAGGTAGTAGAGACCAAAAAAGCAGGACCGTTGCGGGCAAGTATTCCTGCAGACGGCGGCGGCTGGGAACAGAGGGTGGGGAAAAGGAAGGTCAAAGGCCCTTCTCCCGGAAGATTCATTATCAGCCTGTTTATACCCAGTCCCCTGCCAACCCTTTCCCTTGTTTCTTGGCAGCATGATGAATTAAGTCATCCTTTTATTCGTCTAGGCTAGACTGTGGCTTGTTTGGGGGGAAGTAAACAAGAGGCTAAAGGGCAGGTACAAAGCCAGAGAATCCAAAGCTTTCGGGCGTGGAGGATGCTGAGCCCCTCACCTGGGCTGGAGCTGTTGGACGGTAGCCGGTCAGAGCCCTTGAGAGTTCGGAAGTGCACCCGAGGCCCGGGG